TGTTAAACATTTATGATGCATAATTAATTCTTGCTGTAATAAAGCTGACAAATTATCGGCAATAATTAGAGTTGATGCATATGGCACACCGGGAAGAAAAAGCATTAAATACTTTCAGGTGTGTTGATAGAGAGCAGCAAACATATGCCAAACCCAATATGCCCCCTCTATATAAATGGTATCTGCTAACCACTTCTTTGGAACCAATTTGTGATTCATTTATGAAATTACTAATATTAATCTGAAACTTAGCTGGAAGAAAGGCCCCATTGTGTGAGAAGGCTGTCGCCAGGAAAATACATTCTGAGCCTACTGAGGTGGTAGAAAGGTTCTGAAGTCATCCGTAGAGCTGAAGGGCCAGAGTTAACTTGTAGAAGCATCCATACCCTGGACACTGAAAGCTCCAAGTTCAACCACTGTGTAAGGCTTGGAAAGATTCCTGCCTGAAACCTAGGAGAGCCCCTGGGTGAGATGGTGCAATGGTTTGACACAGTGAATTGCAGCTTCCTAGGAATTAAATACCTCAAGAACCGCCTCTCCACATATAAACTGACCCAGACTCTGTGTTCATCATCTGAGGCCCTTCTCTGTGTGGCTCTTCCACATGAGGTCCGGAGAGTGGCAACATGAGAACAGGCCTTTTCTACAGTGGCTCCTCGTTTGTGGAATGCTCACTCCCGGGAGGCTCACCTTGCACCTTCTTTTGGCACCAGGCAAAAACGTTCCTCTTTAACCAGGACTTTGGCTGATTAATATTCTACAGCCTGTGTTTGTAGGGGGGGCGGGTGGTATTGTTTTGCTGTTTCTGTTTAATTTGTGCTTTTATCTTGTACAGTGGTACCTTGGTTCTCAAACTTAATCCATTCCGAGAGTCAGTTCGACTCCCGAAACCATTTGAAAACCAAGGCGCAGCTTTTGATTGGCTGCAGGAGCTTCCTGAACCCAAACAGAAGCCGCGGAAGCCATGTCGGACGTTCAGCATCTGAAAAACATTCACAAACTGGAACTCTTACTTCCAGGTTTGCTGTGTTTGGGAGCCAATTTGTTCAGGAGCCAAGCCATTCGGGAAGCAAGGTACCACTGTATTTTTATCTTGTGAGCCGCCCTGAGATCTTGTGATGAAGGACAATATATAAATCATCACAATCATCACCACCACCACCACCACCACCATTTATGTGAAAACCTGTGATGTAGCAAGTACAGTATCTGGAAACCCCAAACTTTCATGGGGCCACTCATGTGCAGAATCTCCAGGTCAGTGTCACACATCCTTGTCGGCACAGGGACAGAAATGGAGAGTTGTACAGAACTGAGTCAATAAATGCAGCAAGTTTTCAAGTATTATGCCAACTGGTGAAATACCAACATTACCAGACAGATTGGTGAAGGGGTTAGGGACAGAGAAAGAGACGTCATATTATACAAACCAAAAATTATCTTTGTAAACAAAGACATAAATTGCCATAATATATTATCTTGCCATATTAAATCATTCTACATCAGCAGCCAAATCTGAAAAAATCACAATAGATTAAAGGTTGCAGCACAATCTACAGTATGTGACACTTGAGCTGATGAATGGGGCTTGTTTTTTCCAAAGCTCAATAAGTGAAGACTAATGTAGTTCCAAGTTGTTATATTTCTGCCTTCCTTCTTTTATGCAGATGTGGTTTGTACATTTCAACATTTCAACAGACTCTTAAATCTTGCTTTCTTCTTCAGACAACTGAAGTATGGTGCAGACATCCTCCAGCCTCTTGCATAACATATCTGTGCTGCTACAATTGCTTCAAAATATTAATGTGCACACGCAGAAGGCTTTGAAGCTAATGGATTCACAGTGCCCACCCACTAAATATCTATCATCTAACTTAGCTTATCATCTGACTGGAGTGGGTCCGTCCCTAGCTATACCTATTTCATGAATGACTGTAGCCATTTTTGACCAAATATAAGATCCTCACGCTTCTGACAGGTGCTGTGTATATAGCTGCAGTTAAATTATATACTATTATTTTTCCTATATTCCATTTTATTTATTTCCTATATGTATGCTTTTGTCATCTGATGTTGTGTTACAGTATTTTTTCTTAGCCTTCTGCATTCAATAATAAAAGTGAAGGTAGCTTTTCCTCTCAAAATCCACAGCAGCTAAGAATTACTTAATAATAGCTTTTAAATGTACCATTTTCCCATCTAGTTGGTGGGGACGGATTCAGGACGATTTAGGAATTTCCAGGACCCTTGGCATTTATCCTCTTTCTAGTAGCCTCTGAATGAGGCCATGACTATTTGTTTATTTATTACCCAAGATGGCTGGATTACTGATCAACAAAAAACTGAAATGAAATTGAGCAGAAATTTGAAATTGCACAAATAGTAAATAAATCAGGGTTTGACTCCAATTTCCTACATCTGGAAGTCATAGTTAATTTATTTGCATCCTGCATTTTCTGCACAGGCGTTGTGCTCAAAGATGATAACAGAACAGGTGATTTAAAGACAATCACCATAATTGTGACAGATTACAACATTATAGCATTGCAAGTTTAACAAATCCAGTTTATTTAAGATATACTGAAAGGTTAAATGAGTGTCAAACACATCAATAATTGAGTTAACAATATCCAGTGCCAATAATAGTACTCTCAAGTGCCTAAAAAGGAATTCATTCAACAGTGCATAATTAGTAATGCAGTTCTGTTCCTCCATGGTGATGGCACTGGACAACTGCTAGTTTTGGGGTGGGTAGGAGAAGGTATTGCTAATGGTTCTCCCACTGAGAGTGGAAGGTAGGAACAGGGCGTTTTGGGAGTGGAGTAGGGGCAGGACACTGCTGATAATTGGATTCACTGGATTTATGGACTCTCTGAGGGTGCAACCCTTGAGCTATGCCAGTCCAGAGGTGGCAAAAGTTGTAACACAAAGTCCCCCACCCAAAAAACCCCCCACCCATTTTCCTCCTCCCTTGTCAGTACAGATCAGAAAACAGGGTGAAAAATGACATAGCTGTCTGCTGTGATGCACATCTTTGAATTTTGTGATGCAGTTCTTTGCTCAAAAGCTATGTCAATGTGCATTTTAAAAATGTGTATTTTGAGACAGAATACACTTTGAAATGCAGGTTTTGAGAGAGAATACATTTCTAAGTGTACACATTGTGAGAAAATATGTTCAGAATGCCATTTAAACACATATTTAAATGCACATGGGTGTGAATGCAGAGATTAATGAAGAAATGGGATAGAATACGCTTATAAACGAACACATGGAAAAAGTGGCATGAACTTGAAAGATATAGATATGTCCATTCTCCCCTTTTTCAATTGTATATTTTATTTTAAATACATAGCGGAGGATCTTATATTTCATGACACAATGACGTTAAATCTTATTGATTTATTATATATTAATAAAAAATATTTAAAGCAATAAATTCTTTGCCCAATAAAGAGTAATATCAGCAAAAACTGTGAGACCGGGAAAGTCGTTTTTCATATTGCCTGGTCTATCTTTCACAGATCCTTCTCTCACAGTTTCAGAATCCTGATACTGGAAGAATGCATAAACTAAATTTTCTCAGCAGAAAAAAATTGTCAGTAGAAAAAGTAGTATTGGACATTTCTAGCTTGCAACACGGTTTCCCAGCAAGCATGTTGGCTCAGCTCTTTGTTTTTGTTCCGAACTGCTCATCTGTCTGTACGCAGGGCAAGCAATTTATCCAAAATCTTTCCATCTGAGGCAGTACAATTGTAAATAGTCATTTGGCTGCTCAGCAGTGGTGGTGCTATGTGCAAGCATGATACCGGATTTTAAACCCTGGCTCCACTCAACATGTGGAAATACTAAGTCATTCCAAATGTTATATTGGGAGATGGATTATCCTGCATTTCCAAATCCTATTAAACAATATCATGTTGATGATGTGCTGGGTAGCTGATAGACCTAATAGGTAGACAGAATTGCTCTAGCAAGTATTTTAGCACCCCTTACCATAACTTGGAGGGACGCGGGTGGCGCTGTGGGTAAAACCTCAGTGCCTAGGACTTGCTGATTGTAAGGTCGGCGGTTCGAATCCCCGCGGCGGGGTGAGCTCCTGTCGTTCGGTCCCAGCTCCTGCCCACCTAGCAGTTCAAACGCACCCCTAAGTGCAAGTAGATAAATAGGTACCGCTTTATAGCGGGAAGGTAAACGGCATTTCCGTGTGTGGCACTGGTGCTGGCTCACCAGTGCAGCTTTGTCACGCTGGCCACGTGACCCGGAAGTGTCTTCGGACGGCGCCGGCTCCCGGCCTCTTAAGTGAGATGAGTGCACAACCCTAGAGTCGGTCACGACTGGCCTGTACGGGCAGGGGTACCTTTACCTTTACCTTACCATAACTTGGACCATTTTCCTACTAACTTTTCAGTATTAGCTCAGATATCTGATTTAGTAAGCAGAGTATTTAATGCTAGCTGCCATAACACTTACAGTAAATGTAGATGATCTGGAATTCGCATTCAAGACCATGTTTCTGGTTGCTTCTTTATGTGTACATGTAAAACACTATACAAGCACACCTTAAAAAGGTAAAATGTGGAACATTGGTCAGCATCATTCAAATCCTGGTTCCCCAGATTTAATTTTAACTCTGTCTTGCCCCTTTTCCTATAGTCACTTCACGACATGATGGCCACTTATGCGAGGAGGGGAGACAGCTTGTGCTAACCATGATCTGACCAATTTTTGTGCACCCAATCCCACAAGCTCCTGACCACTGTTTGGAATATGATCTGTAAATGCAGCAACTTAGGTATACTTATGTCCCACATATGACCTAAACTTTCATTGGTGATTGTCATTAAATGCATGAAAGGTTATCCTGTATACACTTCAGTACCCAACAGTAACCAAAAGAGACTCCCCCAAATATATCAGTGATTGGGCAGGGTTGTAAGGAATCAGATATCCTGGACCCAAGTTGCTAAGGGCCTTGTAAATTCATATAAGAACCTTTAATCTGGGATAGCTCAGTTTGGTAGAACACAAGACTCTTAATCTCAGGGTTGTGGGTTCAAGCCCAGGTTGGACAAAAGATTCCTGTATAATATTAATACTTTTATTGTCATTGTACAACCTGTGTGCAATGAAATTAATTGAGCCTCCCCCCCCCCCCGAACACTCAATCTCTTATCAAACAACACATCACTTCACAAGTCAATTGTGCTGTGTTATTTTCCATTCAACAGCCTAACAGCCCATGGATAGAAGCTATTTTTTAGCCTGTTGGTATGGCTGATTATATTTCTATATCTCCTGCCCGAGGATAGAAGATTAAAGAGGTGCTGGCCAGGGTGTGAATCATCCCTGAGAATTTTTCTCGCTCTCCTAAGGCAACGATCCCTTGCGATGTCATCTAGCGGACTCAAGGGACAGCCCATGATATCATGTGCTGTATTCACCACCCTCTGTAGAGGCTTTCTGTCCGTGGCTGTCAAGCCAGCATACCACACTGTGATACAATATGAAAGGACACTTTCTATTGTGGACCGGTAAAAGGAGTTCATCAATTGTTGTTTAACATTATTCTTTCACAAGACCCTGAGGAAATGGAGTCTCTGTTGGGGCTCTCTGACCACCTGAGTTATGTTGATTTTCCAAGTGAGGTCCTCACTAAGGTAAACTCCCAGGAATTTAAAGGAGGAGACGGTATTATAGCGGGGTTGGACAAGATTACCCTCATGGTCCCTTCCAGTTCTACAGTTCTGTGATTCTATGAAACCTGGAGAAATGAGCAGACAGCACAAACTTTTAAGTACTACCTGCGAAAGGAAAAGGAAGCACAAGCTTTTGGCACTTTTCACCTATGTAGTCCTTTGCTCTCAAGAGGAGATGACAGCTCTTACTACCATCCCATCTTGTTTAGCCCTTGGTAACCTCATTTTTTCAGTTGGGGCAGCAGATGTGCCTCTGTGCAAACAACTAAGGCTCTCATACAGCAAAGCTGATTCAGGAACTGGCAGGCGAATACAAAAAGAGGGAACGATGAACAAATGTTCTAATCATGACTTCTTGGGAGGTTACAGCAACTTGTGCTGTAAAATATTAGTGAACCGAACTTTGCGGTTTTTTAACAGTCTGTCCTGTCTGTCTGACTTCATTTAATCTTAATTTCTGTCTCTTGCAGTGTGATTGAAGCCAGCAGCAATTGTGAAAGGCATGTACACATGCATTTTAATATTTGTGGTGAATCCTGCCTCTGCCAAGTTAAAATGAGACAAACATGAGCGAGGGAGGCCTGGCAAGGGAATAACAAACAAAAAATTAACAAGAATAATTACAAATTGAAAACCACATGCTGTGTGCAGGCTACACACAGGAAGGAGTTTGGAAAGCTGGGAAGTGCACCACTAAAAGGAAGGGGGAGATGGAATTTGAACTTCAGTATTTTGCCATACTTGTGGCAGAAAAATAGGAAACAGTCTCTCCTTGTATTTCTGCAGCAAGCTCTAGGTATTGAGGAAGACTAGTTGCAGTAAACTTTCCTCCCCTGGTTAAGTGGTGAGACAATCTTTCTCATCCCTTACTAATGGGACACAGCCACCACTACAAAAAGCCCCTTCACTCCATATCACAAGTTAAGCATACACAGATTACATCCCCCTCTTTGCACATCCCCACCAAACCATTCCCCCACCCTCAGTGTAATCCTATGCCACTGTGGAATGTATATGAAAGGGAGTGTGGTGTAGTGGTTAGAGTGTCAGACTAGGGCTAGGGAGACTCAAGTTCAAAGAGAAGAAATTACAGTCCAAAGAACAGGTAAATTTCATGGTCCTCCACAACTTCTTTTTCCAAGATGGCACTGATCAGATGTGCAACCAGCCCCATCCAGATCATTGATACATTTGTGTACATTGTCCACGTGAAGCAGCACCAGGAGATCCCAGAATGAGAAGAGTTCATGTGTGAAGGAGCAGTTACTTGGCTCATGTTGTTGCTTCCTGAACCAGTGCCAACAGAGCCCTGATGGAAGCATGCAGGTGGTGTGGGAAGTAGTCCATTCATTAGTGCATGCACATTTTACCAGCAGGGTATTTAATAATGGGGAAGAGACTGGATCTCAGGCTTGCCTGTAAGCCATTCCCTCAGAGCTGAAATCTGTGTAAGAAAGTCACTCTGTACATTCCAAGAGAGGAACCCTTTGCTTTTGGATTGAGCTCAGAAAGTGCATTCTAGAGTTGCACCATGGTACACCCTGACTGTTACCAAATTCCATTAATAATACCCATTTGCACTAGGAAAGAGAAGAGGATGTACAAGCAGCAACTTCTGAGGCAACCTCTGCTAATGTCTGGGAATAGCAGCCACAGAACTTTTAAACAGCTGTAGAATAGCATTTCTAGGCAAGTCTTTCGTGATTAAACAGATTTTTCCTGCCTGTTCTTTCTGGTAACCTGGCAACTAGGTATAGGCCTTTGTTGTTTGCTGCACAGGTGACTATTTCTGTGATGTCTGGCAAACAACTTGCCTTTCCTGAGATGCTATAGTATAGCTTAATAAAACGCCTTGAAACTTCCTCTGTGTGTTCTCTCTCCATATTCCATGTTATGTTTTCGAGGCAGCCGACATCTCTGACTCATGAATGCCCTTAGGCCAAGGTACCTGCTGTTGACAGTACATTTTGGTTTGAAAAGGGGAAAGAAAGGCACAGTGTTTCCTGAGGTGCATAATTCCTTTCCAAACAGGCAATCAACGTATTGGTTTTGCGGTCATGATTCTTGTTTGCTATTTGTTTGCTTGCTTTTGCCGCCCTGGAGATTCAGATTACTGTAGACGAAGGGATGGTGGTAAGGAATCTCCCTTAAGGCACCGCACCAAGGCCTGGTCTACACATGCAGCAGAATGAGGAGAGAGTGAGATGAGCGAGGAAACCCTGAGGCAATAGAAGAGACCGTACCACTTCAGACTACAGATGTGTGAGTGTGTGTGTCACATTTGTAATGCTTTGTAAAGATCTTCCTACAAGTAAAAACTAGTGCAGTTGGGAGCAGGCTAGGCTAAAGCCTTCTCCTTGAGGTACCATGTAGAGAGTTATCATTTAAAAATAAAATAAAATGAGATGATTCAAAATGTGTCTGTATCCCAAAATGGTACAGTCCACCCTTCCACTTCATAATTCTGCCTGCATCCTGTTGCATTCTGTTGCAAAGAGCCGGTCTGAGATTTTAGTATGGGTGGTGATACTGAGGAAAGCAGGACCAGTGGAGCAGCACTCTCCCCACTTGCGATTCCCAGCAAATTAACATGGTTGGGAGACCAGGGGGGGAGGGGAACGACTGGAAAAATTCCACATAAAAATGTCTTTCTCTGGGCGCTTCCAGATGGGGGTTTAATTTTATTGTTGGACGGATGTTCCTCATGCATGCAGATATTTTGCTGCATCCACACACCATTGCTAGCATCAGAATGCCCTTCTTCTCCTTTGGTGATCACTAGTAGCCAAGTAAGATTGTCTTCCATGAGCACGGTTTTAACAGTGAGTCCGTAAGTGACTGTGGAGGCCAATTCTGGATCCACACATCCTTCCACGGTGGGGACATAGGTTTTCGGGTGGGAGTTTATCATGGTGAGGGTTTGCCAAGCATGCCTTCCTCTTAGCACATTTCTCCATTTCGTCCTGACACCCATGACACCTTTGATAAAGGTTGTTCTCCAACTGGAGCGCTCGCAGGCCAGTGTTTCCCAGTTGTCGGTGTTTATGCCACAGAATGCCCAACAGTATTTTAAGCAGGTAAGCTTCTTGTTGTATGGACAGGTGGAACTTCTTTTATTTATTTTGTGTGTGTGGTAGTTAAGAACCGTCGACTCGATTATTTTTATCTCTTTTTTTTATTACCAGGATTGTTTTATAAAACTGATGAATGTTAGAAAAATGCTGGAATGAAATTACTTGGCTCTAGTAAAAATGTTTAAAGAATTAGGTAAGAATATTATGGTTGTGAGAAGTCGGTAAAAATAAGATTTAAGTTTTAAGTTTTTAAGGTTTTCTATAAGATAAGATGAAAATAGATTAAGGTAATGTAATGACAGAATATTATGAAATATGGAAAGGATTTGCTGCGATAATTATTAACTAGGATAGAAAAAAAGGGAGGAGGAGGAGGTCAAAGAAAGAAGGTAATGAAAGTTGAGGATTTGAGAATGATGGAGTTATTATTGTCTGTCTGCGGCATATTTTTGTTTTTTGAATTTGTATTGTTTGATGTGGTTTGTTTTCTCTTTGTTTCTTTTTTTTCCTTTTCTGCTTTGTTTTTTCTCTGTAATTTAAATTTTTTTTCAATAAATATCATTAAAAAAAAAAAAGAACCGTCTGCAAGCACCTGAGACTTTTGCAGTGGCACTCTGCCACCATTCTTCAGTGAGCCTGGGCGGCCTTTGGGGATCTTGATTCATATCCTTCCTCTTCAGTGGGCTTGACTTTATGGACTTGAGCAAGTCGCTATCGTTCACTCTCAGTTTCCCATCAAACGGGACTAATTTGAGCTGACCTGCCATGGCTATAATGGGAGCAAACACGACAGATTGCAATGTGAAAATTAAAAGTGCCAGGGACATGATTAGTAGACGTAATTATTTAAATGCAAGACATCTGCCATGTTTTTAATATGAGCTCCATAACTATTATGGCTAAATTAATGGCCAGTATAAGAACACTCTGCTTGTTCTTAGTGACGTGTTTGGTTGATAGATAACACTGCGGTGGGGAGAAGCACAGTGAAATCATCAATGTCAGAAGTAAAGGTGATATTGCATCCCCTTAGCTCAAGTGTGATGAACTGAATCAGTGGTGAGGGAGAAATATAATGGCAAACTAATAGGATTCATAGGAAGCCTCTGCCCAATATTATTTTCAGATGAGTGTTGCTTTTCTCATGCATCATTGTACTAAGTTTCTGGTTTCTTCTTTCACACACAGCCTCACCTCGAAACACATCTTACACTTGAACCCCAAGCTAATGAGAACATTCTGCACATGGAAACAGGTTCCTATGCACAAATGTTCTTTACACATTACAAAATCCCTGCATC